TTACTAATACAACATCATAGTTGCGGAATTAATAAGAATGTGCTTTTTACACTACTAATTTATCTTAATGGAAATTTCTTCATGCAACTGCAGAACAGATGGATGACGTAATCAAAGGAACGAGTTAAAGGCAGAAAAATTCATTAAAAAAATTTTTCTCCTCGAACTGGACTCGAACCAGTGACCTACCGCTTTCTAGGCGGACGCTCTACCAACTTAGTTACAGAGGCATGAAGAAATTGCCGACGAAATGTTCTCTACATTGCTTACACTGTAATTCACATGATTACTAAGTATTTGTTTTTTGTTTACATTGCCTTTAACTCGTTCCTTTGATTACGTCATCCATCTGTTCTGCAGTTGCATGAAGAAATTTCCATTAAGATTCATGGTCTTTTCTTTTTCCATATGAGAAAAAATCTATGCAGTCAAACTAAATTAATAACCTTAACTAATAAAAACCGCACGAAACAGTTGTTTTAAAATACACAAAATTGTACAGAGTTTTGAGCATATCAAAAAATTATTTTTGAAATTTTCGAATTAACCACGTATGTTTAAGTTGCTACAGTAAGGTACACATAGGCCTGTTGTAATACACCTAAATCCAGAAAATCCTTCACCGTCACAAAAACAAGCGTGGCCTTTTCAAAACCGGATATGCCATTTGCATTAAAAAAGGTTACTAAATACCTTACTAAAGCCAGAAATGAACAAATGACCATCTCATTGTCGCGTCCTCCTCCTCATTATATCTGCTCCTTTTGAGATCATTTGCAGTTAAGCTTAACCTTGTATCATGTTCAGCAATAGGAAAATGTCCTATTATGACGCCAACAACAGTTTCAATGTGTCCTGGAGAAGAGACATAAGATCCTTGATTCGACAAAAATCCAGTTTTGGGCACGATTCTCTGGTCGCGTGGAATAGAGCTCGCCAATCTACGATTGTTTGTTGTAAAACAAGACAATATATCTTAAATAGATCGAAATTGCTTTATTATTTTCAGCTAAAGAAATTTTAAAAATTGTGGGATATTCATAAATCGTGTTTTTACGTTGTTTGTAAAAAAAAATTTATTTTCATTTCAATAAACTTTAGACTATTTAACAGTAAAAATTTGTTTATACTTAGTATTAGCGAAGAACACTCTTGCTAGCACACTTTCAACCTCTGCTTATGTCTCACATTTTTAAATTTACGCAGGTTACTGAAATAACCTTTAAATTTCTTAATATTTCCAAAATTTAATATAGTAAAGGATTTTCTTAGCATTTTAATTGAATGGTCAACTTGATTTTAACTTTTTTCTCTCTCATTCTCAATCTCATTCAGTCTCACTCCAACTCTTTCAATCAAAAAAAAAAGTTACCGTAACCTGAAAATTATGTTATGACGATTCTAAAATAGCTCTCACATAAAATATCGTAAATAAAAATCTTAAGGATTTAATAAAATTGAAATATAAAAATTATGGTTGTAAAAAACCTGCTGAAGTTAATAAAAAAAAAATTTTTTTTTGGATTTAAGAAAATAACCGTTTTCAAAATAAAAAATTGTTATTTAATTAAACTCTAAGGGTTTGAAAAAACAACAAAAAAGAAAAACTAAAAAAGTTTTGCAACTTTTTCACCCCTAATATCTTGGGACCTAGTCTAGACATTATTAATTAAGTGGTACAGTTGAATGTGTGTATAATTCACAATTTTAAAAAATATATTAATCATAAATTTGAATAGATTATTATTATTAGTAACGGTGAATTCATTTTAATTAAAATCCGAAAATTTTTAAAGTTAACATGTAATAAAAATTAATTTATAAATTCACGGTTCCTTTAAAAATAAATGGGAGGAAAATTTTCTTATATTCTTGTAAGAAAAATTAAAAAAAAAAAAAAACAAACAAAAAAATAACTGAGGAATTGTTAATGAAAATTTTAAAATTTGTCATGATTTTTCCTACTCCTTTGTGAATCTTAACCTTTGTATCTTCAGCAGTAATTTAGGATATTTACTTATATTTGTTCGGATGTAGGTTTTGCTAAATAGAAGAATAAGATCAAATTATTTCAATAAAATTTTTAAACAAATGGGAATAATTAGAAAAAGTTTAAAAAACGCTTTAGTAATTAATTTTCATTTTATTTTTTTGATTCTTTCAAGCGAAATTTTAATTATTCTAACGAGATATTAAAAGCAAAAAAAAAAATAGTTTTAATAGGCGAATTAAATTTGTTCTTTAATTTTTTTTTTAATTTTTATTGTTACAATATGTCTCTGGTATTATTATAAAGAAAAAATTGTTTTATGAATTCGTAATGAGACAAAAAGTAAAAAAATGAAGAAATTGTTCATGTTTTGAATATTTAATTAAATTTTTTTGTATAATTAAATTGTAAAGAAGAAATTTTTTAGAATTCAAAATTTAAATACGGGGGTAATTTTAATATAACTACTTCTTAGGCAAACCGATATCTTCGACAAAATTGTCTAGGAAATTAAGCAAACTTGCTGATTAAAATTAATTTATTATAATAAAATTATGCATATTCTTCCGGTGTTAGCAATACTGAGTTTTAAAATATTTTTCTATCTTTTAATAACACATGAAATTTTAATTATAAAAATATATACATACATACATGCAAAATAAATATTTGTGCCTTTTTGGCCTTATATTAACAGATTATTTTTAAAACAACGAGCTCATTGTCGTATTTTGTCGAGTTACGACAATGAGCACAATATTATTGATTGCTGGGTATCCAAACTAATTTTATGGTAAGTTAAAATAATTATTATGTTATTCAACATTTGAAACAACATTTACAATATTTTGTTCTTATGGGAAGATAAGCAAAAGCAAAGAGCACGAACCACTTAAAGTGAAGTATAAAAATAATATATTTTAGAAACAACGCCAAAAAGTTAAGCCTCTCAAATTTGAAATAATGAATTATTCTGGTATATTCGAAAAAAATTATTACTACATCTGCCATAGCCTTGCATGCTATTAGTGATAAAAACTGGTAAAAATCGGGATAGTAGAAAAAAATAACATTTTGTGCCATGTCTTATTGAACTACATTACTAATAAAATTGGGTCAAACCAATGGTTTGTATTGTAGCACTTTTCCCTTCAACTAGTCAAAATTCTGCTTTTAAATACAGTCTATGTATACTTATCACACTATTAAAATTATTTTCATTCATATTCAAAGCTATTCCTAGGATTGCATATATTTAGGATGAACGATTTATGCAGTCTTTTAAATAAAGCGAAAATTATTATAGAGAGGGGTTAACATAATGCTCGATTTTATGGGTTAATTGTGTGAGTTAAGAAAAATAATTATATTTTTAATATCATGGAATTTACCCTTAACTTTTTCTGTTTATAGAAATTTGGAAAAGCTTGCGGTTTCGGAAATATAAGGTGTCAAAAATTCAAATTTTACAAATTTAAAGAGGCGATAACTTGAGAGGGGGTGGAGATGGAAAAAAATTTTCTTCTAACGAAATGAACTATTTGTTAGTGTCCAAGAGACCCTAAAATTCATGCTTCTACAGGCTGGGGTCTAGAAGAAAAACGAAATCAAAGTTTAGAAAAAAAAGACTTTAGATAACGGTAAATTTGAAGGGCCATTTTGTTTTTATAAAGTTTAACTATAGTATACCGCGCTAGGGAAAGCAAGCCGCTGCCTTTTTGCGTTTGCAAAATTTCAAAAATGCTTATGGCTTCATTGCAACAAATAGTTAAAAAAGGCCATTTTTAGGGTTTTGGGGGGAATAACTTCTAAAGGGGGAGAGATAGGTAAAAATTTTGTTCTACGGAAATAAGTTTCTAGTAAAGATCTATGTACATACAAGCTTTCTATCTTCAAGGGTGTAGAAGTTTTGTAAACAGACACACGGATAGACGGACGGACGGACGGACGGACAGAGTGAAACTAATAAGCACTTTTTTTCAAAAATTTTTTGGAAAAATGCTAAAAATAGTAATTTAATATAGAAAATTTAATAAAAAATAAATGGCGAGAAATTAAGCAAATGAAAACTAAAGTAAGAAAAATGAGAAAGAGACCCTTGTGTTTCCCCATTGAAACAAGTTATTTTACAATTTTATGAACACTTCATATACTGGTTTAACCCACGCTGAATAATCAGTTTGCGTTTTCTTTTTTTTTTAAATTTCTGAAGCAAATTGAATAACACTCTAAATTTTTTTAAAACCATTCCTAATTTTTAAAGTAACAACGTTATTTGTGAATAATTGAAATAGTAGTGACAATAAAGATTTGTGGTAAATTATCCACACAATAATCGACTCGAACTTGCGATGTTCAATTATAGACCAATAATTGACTCAATTAATTCAAGGTGAATATTCGAACCAACTGTAGTTAATATTCGAGCTGACTGTGCTTGCGGTATTTTTTATATCAACACACTTTCATGCTTGTTATAATATATAACGACTTCCGAGTTTTTCTTTTTCCCATTATCAATTTAATTTGCGTTGTGAAATCAAAATTACAGGTCTAATTTTTATTGAGAACATATGAGCAAATTCAAATATTTTTATTCAAAAAAGTAATATTATTTCTAGAAAGAATTTTGGGTCTTCGAGCTGCTAACAATTCTCGAAGAATTTTGGTTTTGCACAATGTTACTCTGAAAAAAGTTATACCAAATTCAAGTTTGTACAAATTTCTTGTGTCCCAATAGTGATTATAATTAAAAAAGTTTCTTTTTATTCCATAACGTGCCGAGTTAAAAGACGGGTTAATTTGAAAACAACGACGCAATTAAAATGTTGTATACTTTAAGTTGAATAATTTTATAATTTTTCTAACTACTTGTCTTACTTTAGATTTATAGATTTTGTTGCTTTAATTTTCCTTTAAACTAATTTTTTAAATAATAAATTTTTTCTAAAAATTTTATGGTTTCCAACAAATTGTGTGAATACTAAAATTTATTTAATATAATTTTTAGGTACTAAGTGAAGATTCTGAACGTGGTGGAATAAGTTTTGTAACAAGTAAAGAAGATTTTTCTAAATCAATTTTATTGATTGACAATGCTGATCTCCCAGATTCTGGAAAATATTCATGTTATCCATCAAATACAGAAATTGCCAGTATAAGAGTTCATGTGCTAAATGGTAAGTTTAAAGAGAATATTGTATTTCAATATATTTAGGTTTTTGTTTTAACTATAGTTACTTAAATATTAACTGTATTGGGAAGATTTTTCTCTGATCGAGTAAAAATCGTATACAAAATAAGTTGAAACTTTAAATAAGTTGGATTCAAGAATAAAAGCTCTGTAACAAACTGATTTGTACACAGAAGCAGTAATTTTTATTGATTGATGCACAAAAGTTTGTAAGACTTAATGTACCTACATACATATAAATTTGAAAAGCATTATAAAGTTTGGTAAACAAAAAATTGCAAATTCCTTCGGGCAAATCAAACAGAGTTAGTATTTTTCCGAATAGTGTTAAAAAGAACTTGATAGGTACATTTAAGTTAGGCAATTAGTAGAAATTATAAAAAAAAAACAACAAAATTTTAACAAACCTTTTAAAAACTAAAATTTTTTCACTGAAACATTTTATAAGAACGTATTCTTTTCCTAGAAAAAATAAGATTATATAAGCCCGCTATTATTATTTCGTATGCTTTTCATGGAAATAGACGAAAGACAATTGCAGAGGTAAGTGGACAAAGGGGTTAACTTGCATTTGCATTGTGACACATTTTTTCATTAACAAACTATAAAACTATTAATTTTTTTGTCACTTATCTCTAATGTGGACTGTCGATTTCGTCTTCTATTAAGTTTCTATAGGTATAAGAGTAATGACAGTTGTCAAAATGTTAGTTAACCTCTTGATCCGCTTCAATTATTACTTTCAAATTTTTAATTCTTCAATTATTTTTTAATCAAATCTTGCTGACCTATAAACAGACGATCCACCTTAAGATATCGTGAATTAAATAATAATTTATATTATGCTTAATGTATACTGCCTTACGAACAAAACTTGGTACATTGCTTACGATGAATTTTCTTAAAAATTACGTACTTATATACTTTTTTACAAATAATATACATTTATATTGGGTGGATATGAATGGCAAAGAATCAATAGTGAAAATATAAAAGAAATTTTCTCTTTGAATGTGACTTACAATATTTCCATCATCAAAGTTTTTGAACGCTTAATTGAAAAAACGAACTGAACACACAAACTATTGTCATTTTTCATTTCCGTCTACCATTCATACGGAAATCCTTTAAACTCTTATTTTATATGTTTATTAACTTCCTGTATATAAACCTTGTATATTATACTCATACAAACAAATAAACATTGGCAGTGAATGAAAAATAAGTAAATAAAAATGTGATATAAAAAAGAAATGGAGGAAAATATAAAAAAAAAATCTTAAAAAAAATTCAACTGTAAATTAAAAATTAAAAATGAATTGAGAATTTAAAAAAAAATATACTGTTACATAATATAGTCTTCATCTATATGATTTTTCTATAGATTTAAAAATTTATCACCCAATAATATTTTTTTAAAATTAATGAAAAATAGTGTGGGCTAAATCGTCGAGAGGATAATCTGGAAATGATAGAGTTAGAATTCTAGCTGAATTAAAATTATGTTATCTATCTAGATAGCAGCACCTTTTTAGAGATTGCGATCAGAAATAATTTAAAAATTTTTGGACCTCTTATTGAGATCTCAGCTGACATTGCGAGATTAGGCAGCATTTCAGAAAACTGGGCTGAAAAAGTGGGACACTTTTGGATTTTATGAGCAGGAAGAGGAGATTTCAGAACAGTTTCTGGAGAAAATAAGAAAAATATTGGGGAACTACATATTCCCTATGGCGGAGTTCCGGTGTACCGAACTTTTCAAGTTTTTCATAGCTAGAAAAGACATAATAGAGATAAACTGATTGTTATACACTGTAATCAGTTTTACCAGGATATAAAGAGTAAAAATTCAAAACACATGATGACGATTAAAGATTTAAGTAGGTTTTTGAAAATATTGTATCGGATCACTAAACAATGGTAAAGAAATCTTTAGTAGCACAAAGCAATGGTAAAAATTTTTCGATCCGATTTGTTTTAAATACTGAACTGATGCAATCGATTTGAAGCACCAGAAGTATTTTCTAACCAAAAATTTTACATTTTTTATAGCAGAAATATGCAGTTTAATTTGCATTAAAACTAAAGCGTACGCTTTACTAAAGTTCTTAAATTTTTTGAAATGCATAAGTTGATGTATAAACAGTGGCAACATTTCCATTGGTATTGCAATATAAAACGAAATAATAAACCATCGAATAAATAATATAAAAATAATTTTTTTAATAAAAATGTAAGAGGATTTCATGGCTTATAAGTATAATCATTTGGGTATACATTAGATACACAATTTTTCCATTAGTTTTACTACATCAAATATAACGAAATTTGTTTTACTTGATGTACACTGAAAGTATTGAGTGAATGAAAAATATAGATAACAGTAAATATATGTAGATCTACTTTATGTTATTTTTACAAAAATATGTAAAAACTTATGCCAACATGTATTCGTAGTATAATATGAATAAATTTATAATTTATAAAGTCCATATGCAATTTTTCACATAATATAATTGTTACGTGTGATTTGGTTTGTATAAAAACTGTCTTATGTGATCTATGTTCTCTGTACGAAGACACATAATTCAGCATTTTAACATTATTTAAAAAAGAACAACAAGCATACGCTAGAAGAGAAACGGCATGAATGTATTCAATCGATAATAGTTTAATTCAGGTTTAGGAGCATTGATTTAATCATAAGTCCAAGTTTTTAATTTAAAAATTACTTTTCAGCGATTTTGTGTTTGCTAAGCTTTTGCTTTATGGTGATGATCAATCTAAGAGCCATAATTTAATTATACTACATAATTCAACAATGTGGTTCGTAAGATGTTGGCATATAACAAAACATGGAAGTTCTCACAAAGAATAGAAAATCGTTCTTAAGGTTTTCGCTGTATTTAGGTTTTTCTTATAAAAATATAATTTTGTGGTGCTAAATTATAATTTTCTTAGTGGTCAACTGTGAATAGAATTTTTAAAGATGTTTAATATTCATTAAAATTTTCATGCCATAATTTGATTAAAATGTCCTTCTGACTTCTAAAAAATTTATACTGCTAAAATATTTACGAATTATCTAGCATTGGTTGTCAAATTTTTCAGCATTGGACGCATAGTCTTCATGACACGATAAGGGCTCTTTATACTATTTCTTGAAAAATAATAGAATCAACCTATGGGTAGATATATTTTAACATGGTAAAATTGTTTACCTTAATAAATAAGACGAAATAGTACAAAATTATCTGCTATTGGAGTAAAATAGTTCCACTTATAACTCGCAATCTAGGGCGTGCTGCAATTGACATAAAATTCAAAATTTGCAAATAAAATTAAAAAAAATTTGAATATTAAATTTTAGACAGTATGAAGCAAAGTGAAACTATGAGTCTCATTAATATTAGCAAAAGTTACAATCAAATTCGCAATAATCAAGCAAAGTTGGCAAAGAAATTTTGTTATACAGACAACATAACCTAAGAACGATAATACATGTCTGCCATAAATTTTTAATCTTTACAATGAAACTCGAATTTTAAAGTTTTATTTTTAATTTTATTTTGATTATCGTATACAAAGGAGTCAACATAACAATGGCACTTAGTAATTACTATATGTGATAAAAAAGTTGGGAGTGGAAAAATAAAATATCATGTTAATGAATAGTAAAATTTACTTTTTTGTTACTGAATAGTCTTCTCCTTTACTGTTAATTTTTTTTACGTTAGTAATTTTTATATTTTACTTTTACAGTGTAATTATTTTCGTTACCTTTTTGTCTCTTATTTCCCTGATTACTTTTTAATTAGAACACCTAACAATTATGTTAGTGAAAAGGTTTTTTTTTTGTCAACTATTATGTGCTTTTAAAAACGGAAATTTGATAATAAAATTATGATTTTGTTGTTTTAGTTCTTCTTTGTAGTTTTTTCAACAGAAGCTATAATTAAAAAATATAAAAATTTTGCGAGTTTTATATGTGACTTTGAAAATTGGAGAAAAGTGATGAAAAATTGAGTAGTTACAGTTTTGTCTCATTGTGGAATTTTGCACTAAATCAAATATGAACAAAATTAAACTCTGACTTTAAACTAAATCAAATACAAATTCTACTTAAAACACAGTTTAAAATGGTAGATTGAAGTTAAATATAAGAATAAGTAGTTAAGTCCGCAAGAACAGACACTATTATACTGCTTGAGAAGTGAATATGAAAATTCTATTGTCTGTGATTATTCTAATATAAAATAAGGTTTTTAGAAATGATCAAGGACTCTGTTCAGTTCACAATTTTTAACACTTTACCAAACGCCGGCCAAGCAATAATTATTAAGCGTTAACTTACATTAAAAAAACTTACCGCAAAATAGCACCAGCAAAAAACATCTATTCTTTGTTGAAAAACAATAAAAATAAAGAGTTAAATTTTCAGAAGACTCTTCGGAAAAAAAGTTTTTGCTTTTGCTTACTTAAAAATATTAAAATTGAGCACGCCAATTTACTGGAGGTGGGGGCAAATATGATTTTCAAGGCAGCAATTCAAAATAAAATAGTATTTTTAGAAAATTGTATGCGGAAGCCCAAAAGTAAAAATTATATAAAAACTTTCTAATTTCTTAATAAAACAAATATATATTTTGGAAAATTTTGTCAAAATAGGAGAGATTATAACACAGCTTTCAGGTAAATATTTCCCTACTACTTCAATTTAGACATATTTTGTGTTGTGTCAGCAATTTTCTCGTGATAATAAAGTGACACATTATGTATGTGCTCAAATGTATTGAGGTACTATATACGTACTTCAAACCCTGATATCATACAACATGGGTACATAAAAATTCACAATATTAAAGAAAACTTTGATTTCGCGAAAATTTATAATAGAAAATACCGAAACTATGAATTCGAATGCGCGATACTACTGAAATCAATGAGAAAAAAATCTAATAGGATTTCAATAAAAAATCTATATGA